GGCAGGTGGAAAGCAGGAGGGCATGACAGTAATGGGAATGAGAGCCAGTGGGGACTGTGGCTGGTACAGGACAGCAGGCAGTGGCAGGATGATGACTCAGGCTAACACAGGTGCAGAGTTGAGGAGGGCCTTGGGGCTAGGTGGAGGGTTCTGGAGGAGCTGGATGTGTGCTGGTGTGTCTAGTGGAGAGGCTGTGTGGTCACTGTTGTTTAGGACAATTCTGGTAGTACTGTGGGCACTCAGGCAGGAGGAGGCTGACCCTTGGCAAAGGAGCTGGAGAAGCATAGGCAGCACCGGGACAAGGAGTGAGCTAGAGGGAGGCTGTCCATTGGCCAGACTGGCTTCTGGTTATGGGTTAATGTGAAGGTATGGGAGGGTGTGGACTGACCCTAAACAATCCCTGGGCACTCAGACCTAATTGCCAGGTCTAGCCAGGCCCTTACTTCACCTCTGAGAGCATTTGCCAGAAAGGCTTCGGTCTTGACTCAGTCCTTCTTCCCAGGTGTCTATGTCTTCTACATCTAGAAACTCAAGATGGACCCCATGTCCCCCACTCCTGAGTTCCAAGTATCCAGGGTGTACAGACTTCCATTGTCATCACCAACCAGCCTGGACATGCTGGCCTCATCCACAGACATGGAGCATCCATGGTGATTACTCATTGGCTCAACTCCCTTTCCCAGTGAGCTCAATCTCCCTTCCCAGTTCCTTACTTCCCTTGTAAAAGGCATCACTCTCATGCTAGCTTATGCTGGTTCTATTCTTTGTTCCAACAGTTATCTGCCCTTTCACTTAAGCATCTGTTCATGTCTCCCTGCAAATATCTCTCCACCTCTGCACCTCCCACCTGCCCAACCTACCTGGCACCATATCCTGTGGGGGTGAATTTGACCCCAGAGAGCATCACACCTGGGGCTGGCCCTTCCCTGATTCAGGTGATTTGAGGTGAAATTTGGAACTTGGAGTTGGGGTGGATTGGGTGAGTCTCCTTTGGTGTAGGGATGGGTGGGTGAATTTTGGCCCCTGAGGTGGACCATTAGGAGATGAATGTGTCTCCTACACATTTGTATATACAAGTCCCAGCCCCAGACCTCAGAATGTGCTACATTTGGAGATAAAGTCTTTCAATGGACAGAGGACAATGAGGTTGCTAGGTGGACCTAATCCCATCTATGTGCTCATAAGAGAGGATATTAGGACACAGTACAGAGGAGCTACTTTGGGAGGACACAGGAAAGATGGTATCTGTAAGCTAAGGAAAAAACACTTTGCCGACCCCTTAGTCCAGAATATCAGCTTCCAGCACCACAAGAAAATGACTGGGTATTGCTCAAGAGGCTACTTGTGTCCTGTGTCATGGCAGCCCAAGCTCCTGAGAGACCACATCCACACTTCTTGTCTAACATGGTCAGCTCAGGAAGCACTGCCCAGCCAGCCTGAGAGGGGCTTGCCTTCCATGTCTCCCAGAGTGACCAAGGCATGCAGGGGCAGTACCCAGAGAGAAGAAAGCATCAGGGAGGAAAGGCTGAGTGCCTAGGATGATTGAGGCAGCAGGAAGGGAAGGCTGGGAGGCCCCTCACAGTGGTCAATGTCACCCATGTGTGCCTGGGCACATGGCTTGTGACTCAGGAAGACCACAGAGAGGTACATGGTGTTTAAGGGATGCTTTATTGCCATTAAGAGAGAACTTACAGGATATCATAGGATCCAGAATACTATAAGCAGAAGAAAGCTACAAAGCTGAAATGAGCTGTTCTTTGGGCTTTTCCTGCAGTGCAAGGTGCTGTCTGCTCTCCTTTCCTATTTGTGTCATTCTTCCTTACTGGAGGCTCTGGCTTGGCATTTCCCTATGCTGGACAGGACCATGGCACGTGGGTCCTGTGTCCAGTGCCAGCTCATCCCTGATGCCTGGGCCACTGGGCTCTCTCTGTGGACATACCAAGTGGACACTGGCTCTGCAGGACAGACCTGGCTGAGCCCTGGTGCTTTCAGCAGCCATCCGGCTGCCCCTTCGTTGGGACAAGTGCTCCTGGGCCTCCTCTGTCCCTGAGACCCAGAAGGCTGTATCTGGCCTGCCTGGAACCAACTCACTAGACCTCTCCTGGAGGCATGGATGGTGGTGATCACCCCTTCCTGCCCCTGCTTGGGTTCTACAGCCACTGTGTAGCCTAGATCCTCTCTCAAGTACTCCTAGCAGTGCTACTGGGCCTCCTGTGGAAAATGCTAGTGTCCTGGGCCCAGCTCTTTATCACCAGCATAGATAAGCCCAGGGTAGCTGGTCCCTATGGGTTGGATCCAGCAATGTGAATGTTGGCCACAAAGAGGGGTGGTACACAGGGTCCCTATCAGAGGACACATGAGGGCCATATGAGCCATTGTTCAGGCCTGTGTTCATGGAGGTGCCCAGCAGAGGCCCACTAGGCATGGGCTGGCAAAGTTCATCAGGTGACTGTCAGTAGCCCTTCCAAAGCCCCTGCTTGGGGATGATGCTCATGCCTGCTGGCCTGGGGTGCAGCAGTCTCTTTGGAGGGTCATAGCCTCACCTCTCTCAGAGATGCCCTGTGCTGGAGAGACTGGTGTGGATTGGGTTTGCTCCAAGGCTGGTCTCCATCCAGACAGACATGGGCAATGCTGGACACTGCCTCTTCCTGGGTGACCGCCTGCTCATGGAGGCAGAGATGTCCTGGGAGGGAAGCCGTATCCCTTGTTTGCCTCAATCAGGGTCATGGTGGCAATCGTGGGGGTGGCGTGTGTCCAGGCTGCTGAGGCTGGGCGTACTTGCTATCCATGAGTCCTCCGGAGCAGGGAGGGTGGGAGCACAGGGTCACTGAACCACAAGGTCAGAAGGCAGCGAGGTCCAAGGAGGGTGTGACCTGGGGGTCAGGTTGCTGGAAGTGATGGATGGGATCCTTGTAGGGCCTGGGAAGCCTGGATCTCTTGAGGGGTTGGCCCTAAGCCCCCTGCCCAATCATGTTCCTGTAGTCCGGGGCGATGGTCTGCTTCAGCTCCACCACTGAGGAGAAGATCCACTTCACCTGCAGGAACAGTGGGTGAGCAGCCATGGCACCATAGGATGCCACCATAGCCAGTAGGACCATGAGGACAGGGTTAGGACCTTGGGGACAGGAAGGAGACAGGATTTAGGACAAGATAGAGATGGGTTTGGGGACAGTGTGGGGTCAGATTTGGAGCCAGTTGGGGACATAATTGGGCCAGGATAGGAAAAGCAGTACAAAATATTATGTAGAGAGGTTGTGGACATAATGGGGACACAATTTGGAAACTGCACGGGGCACCATGGGGACAGTGTTGAGACAGCTTGGGGACAGTATGTTGGAAACAGCACAGAGCATAGTGGGGTCAATGTGGGGAAAACATTTGAAAAACAACATGGAATATATCAGACAGTTTTGGGACAGCATGAGGAGAAAAGAGCATGAATATTATGGGGACCCTTTGAGTTCAGGGTAGGGACCACATGGGGAATACTGCACTGGACGCTCTGGGGACAGCATGGGTCAGTGGGCCATTGTGGGGACACTTAGCAGATGATGTGGGGATGACATGAAAGTATGGGCCATCATGGGGACAACACTAGCCAACATGGGCGGTGTGGGGACAGCACGGGTCAGTGTGGGTCATCACAGAGACAGCATGGGCAGCATGAGTGTCAGGGGCAGTGTGCCAACCTTGAAGAGGGTGACCGTGGCACTGTAGCACACGCTGAGCAGGAAGAGGGTGATGAAGATGGTGATGGTTGTCCACAGCCCATCCAGCTCTCCATCCTGGGCCTCAGCACAGCTCTCATCAAATTCCAGCCCTGGACAGAAGAGGGTGGTCAGTGCATGTCCCTCAGCCAGGCCAAGGCCCACTCCCTGTGCAGTGTGGCATGGGATTGCTGGGAGGCTTGTGGGGAAAGGCCAGATGTACTTCCCTGGCCAGATCTCTATGGTTGCCCTCACTGAAGAGCAACTTTATATCCTCCAAGTCCTCCACCTGGGCAGTGAGTTGACAGACACCACAGCCAGGATGGCTGCCTGGACTTGATGGATAATTCTGTTTACTCAGCACGGGAGTGGCTGAGCAGCATCGAGGCCTTAGACCAGGTAGGCTGTGGCTCTCTGCAGCCTGCCTGGCCTTCTGCCTGCTCCCTGGTGACCAAACTAGAAGATAGAAAGATGGCAGGGCTAGGCCAGTTGGTACATGGTGTCCCGTATAGTGTAGGAGGCAGCTGATGGATTGAGCACCAGTTGGGAAATTTATGTGTTGGAAAATCTGCAAGGGGGCTGGTCAGTGTATGTCCAGTGAGGTAGGCATGGAAGGTAGCATGGGTGCTGTGCAGGCTGCCCATGGACCCAGGATGTTGGGCATATACATGTGTGCATGTATGTTGATAGGTGTGTGCAGTCAGCATGGGCTGGGACTGCTCAGCAGACTTATTCTAATGGGTCTGGGGTCAGTGCCCTCCCACAAGTTTCACCTCTCATGTGTCTGGACCATCCTCCCTTGGTGCATCTAGGGAGGTGCCTCAACCACTTGGGAGCACAGGAGTGAGTGTCCCCAAGGGTGTTTAGTGTCCCCATGAGTAGGTAATGTCCCCAGGGGTGCCTAGCTTCCCCATGGCTGGGCAACCTCCAGTGTCCCCAGTGGTGGCCAGCTTTGTGCAGGTGAGGGGGTCATAGAGGTTCTGTCCAACAGTCATAGCTTGCAGTCTCTGCGGTGGACAGAAACCCCAGGACAAGGGCTTGGAGGCAAGGAAAGGCTGTTACAGAGGCGAGTTGAGTGTTCCTTCCCATGGGGCTGCCTAGGGAGCTGCTGGCAGCTGAAGAGGGGCCTGGGAGGACAGCTAGGTCGTGCCTGTCCCTGTGAGGGAAGACACACACTGTGGTCCTCCCATGCAGACAGTTGTCTGTCCCTAATGACTACAGTGCAGGCTTGGTCCCTGCCTGACCCAGGAACCATGGCACAGGCCTTCTGTCTCGGAAAGAACCAGGACAGTGTCGCAGGGTCCCAGGCAGTGCTGGGTGCTTTATTTACATGGGTGTTGGGGGAAAGGGTCCTACAGGACTTGAGAATCCGCAGGTTAGTGAGGGCTTGCTGGGCACAGCACTCAATTACCCGGAGACCGGGAGATGTTCTTCTGCGTGAGATGGTTGTGCAGGGCTTCGTGCATCACGGAGCAGGTGTAGACGGTTCCCTGGTCCCATTTGTGCCTGTCCACACGGAGCTTGCTATAGAGGAAGTAGGAGTTGTCAGTGTCCTTCATGGGTGGGGTGGTCTTGTAGTCCTGTAGGTCCACCGGCTGCCCGTTGTTTGCCCATTCCACATGAATGTCTTCAGGGAAGAAGCTAGTGACCAGGCAGGTCAAACTGACTTTCTCCTTGGACAGCTCCTCTCGGTGTGGGGCCAGGACATACACTTCCGGCTCCCGGGCTTCCCCTGTAGGGAGAGAGGTCAACACATGTTCAATGCCAGGACAGAGGGCTGGACAGGGAGGCTCTGTCCTTTTCACCCCCACAGTGCCACCCAACCTCCCACTTGCCCGCACCACACTCTCACCTCCAACTTTGCGTATGGTTTTCTCAATGGGGGCTGGCAGGGCATTGTTGTTGACCTTGCACTTGAACTCCTTGCGGTTCAACCAGTCCTGGTGCAGGATGGGGAGGACACTGACCACGCGGAAGGTGGTGTTGAATTGCTCCTCTCGGGGCTTTGTCTCAGCTGTGTTCACCTGTTTGTTGTCCACAAACCATGTGAACTGGACATCAGGGTCATCTTGGCTCACGTCTACCACAACACAAGTGATCTTGGGGGTCAGGGAGATCATGAGCGTGTCCTTGGGTCTTGGGGGGAAGATGAAGACAGATGGTCCTCCCTGGAGATTAGGAGCTAGTGTGGGAGACAAATGGGACAGATCAGCACCTGGGGCTTCCTTCTGACACAGGGCACTTCTGGGTACTCAATCCCCACTTGGGCTGGAGAGGGGGGCTGGTGACTTACGTGGGCACTTGGGACATGTGGGACATGTGGGACATGTGGAAGACTTGTCGCTACCGCCTTTGGTGCTGGGCTCTGCAGAGATAAGGATAGGGTTAGGGGGTTTGAGGAGAGAAGGTACTCAGCTGAGGAAGGAAGGATTGGGTGCTAGGTGTGAACTCAGGCCTAGGCTGCACCCCAGGATATGAGTTTTGGCAGGCCTGATGCCAGTGGCCATAGAAAAGTCATCAGCTTGAACCCACCCTGGGCCTGGTGCAAACCCCCAGAGGACATCACCCTGAGCACGAATGTGGGCAGAGGCCTCCATGCAGGAGATAGACAGCAGTTTCCTGGTGCCTGTGGCAGATACGCCCAGAAAGGCTGACCCCACACTTGTATTGCAGGGGACCTGAATCTCCTTGGGAACTGTCCTCACCAACAATCTTGTCCACCTTGGTGCTGCTGGCCGGGTGGGCTACGTTGCAGGTGGCCTTCTTCTGGCTGGAGGGCAGAGTTACCATGCTGGTGAGTGAGTATAGGCCCGACTGAAGACTGGCTGGGAAAGTGTGTACTCCGCTGGTCAGGGACCCTGAGTTCCATGTCACGGTCACAGGTTCGGGAAAGTAGCCCTTGACCAGGCAGCCCAGAGTCATCATGGAGCCAGTGTCCACACATCCAGAAGCCAGAGGGAAGACGGAAGGGCGCTTTGTGGTGGCTGCAAGGAAAAAGATACCAAATGACATGGTGTTGGACACATCTGACTCGATCCTGGAAGACCCTTTGTCTTTGGCTTTTTAGGGTGCGTTGCAATGTTTAGGCAGAGTCTGGGTGTGGGCTTGTGGCTGTTGGTGCCCACCTGTTTTGGTCTACCTGCCTACCTCAGCCATCCCTCCCCTCAAACTCTGGCCCAGGCCAGGCCATTGGTTCCATAAACCCAGCCATTCCCCAGTATGCTTCCAGAAATCTGCAGGTCTAGCTATCCAGTGTAGTCTCTGACCATCACTACTGCCTCCCATTCTTGCTCCTGGGCCATCCTCAAATATCTACTCAGTGCTTTATGACCCACAGGAGTCAGCACAACCCTGTAGCCTTTTTATAAACTCTGCTTGCCCATTTCCCTTGGACTCTTGCTAGGACCTCTCCAACTCTCCAGCTTTCTTTGAGTGCCATGCTTGAGTGGTATGCTTGTTTTTGGGAACTATGAGCCCCGCAGAGCCACAACCTTGTTGCACAACCTGATTCTGCCCTGGTTAGAGTCCCTTCATAGGCACAGAGTCTCAGTCATTTTCTGTCTAGGATTTTGGTCCAGCTACTTGGCTCCCCGACATGCCTTCCTGCGGTCCATTCAGACACATGCAGAGCCTTGTCTCCCACCTGCCAAGTTTTTGCCCAGCCCTGGCCTGGCCTGGCTGCCTCCTTCCTTGTGCTCCCCAGGGCTTCCTCCAGGATGGGCACTGCTGAGCTTGGTTCAACTGCCCACTGCCTCCTTTCCCCCTGCACTCCTGGTCTTGCCCCATCTCCTGCATGCTGTTGGCATTCAGGGCATCATGGAAACCCCTGTGTCTTCTGCTGTTGCCAGCACCCCTGGGCCCTGCAGGTTGGTTTACACCCAGACCCCTGAGAAAGTTAAGTCTTCTTGTCCTCTTGCGCTTGGTATGCTACCCTCAGCCAAGGGTCTTGCCAGCCTCCCTTTCCCTCATCTGCACCCCATTGTCCAGCAGACTCTACTCTGGCCCTCTGGTCCCTTCTTGTCCCCTCTGTGGGACTGATTGCCTTTGCCTTGTTCCTCCTTTTCCTGCTTCAGCAGGGTTCCCTTAACCCCAGTCCTCACTAACCCCTAGGAACAGCCAGATTGACCCCAGAACTTCTATCCATCAGGTGTGTTTGGGAGCACCAGCCCCAGGGAACTTGCCTGAACCCTCTCAGTGCCCAGGATAGATGCTGTCTGCAGCAACCCCCTGCCCCCTGCTGTCCCTGTCCCCACCACCCCAGCATCCTCTGCAAGTCCCAGGCCTCACTCTCCTGCACATACAGGTAGACTGTAAGAGGGCGGGGGCAGAGCAGCAAATGCTGAGCTGGCTCAGGTAGGAGAAGGAAAAGCAGGTTCCCTGAGCCCCAGGGGCTGCCTGGCCATGCAACTTGCTGACATACCTTGGCCCGAGGAGTCCTGACCCCTTCTTTGCTCCTTTCTTGCCCAGGACTCCTTGGGGCTTTGCCCTTGCACTGAAAGTCTTATGTTAAGCCTGTCAGCTCTAATTTCCTATCAGCCTTCAGTACCCAGACTCTGGGACTGCCCTAGCCCCTCCAGCATTGTCTTACCTAATCTCATCTATTGCTGCTCTGCCCTGTGTCCCTGAGCTCTTCGGTCTTCCCTATCCTCTTCAGCATTCACAAGCCCCTGTACATCTGCATATGCTCTTCTGTGGTACCCTGAACTCCTAGGGCTGCTGTGGCCTTTCCAACATCAACCTGCCCAGTTCATTTGTGGCTGCTTTGCCTGGCTACCCTGAGCACATGGAGCTCCTGCAGCACCAACATGTTCTTGCTCATGTGTAGCTGCTCTGCTTTTTTCTCTGGAGCTCCTGGGACTGTTCTGGCTCTTCCATTACCCAAATGCATCTGCTCACGTACAGCTTCTTGGCCCTGGCCCCCTGAGCTTCTAGGACTGGCTTGACCCCTGAAGCATCCACCTGCCCCTGTTCACCTGCAGCTTCTCTCAAGTGATCTCCTAAGCTCTTGGAGTTTCCCCTGGGTCCTCTAGTATCTACCTGCCTAAGCCCAACTGTAACTGCTCTATGCTCATGCACTGAGCTCCTGGTGTTGCTGTGGCCCTTCTAGCACCCACCTATCCCTACTCAAACACAGCTGCTTGGTCTTGGTTCCCTAAGCTCTGGGAGCTGTCCTGATTCTTCTAGCACCCACTTGCCCCAGCTCACCTGTACCTGCTCTGCTGGAGTCCTCTAAGATCCCGGGGCTGCTTTGGCCCCTGGAGTATCAGCTTCTTCCTGCTCAACTGCCGCTGTTCTGCCCTGGTCCCCTGAGCTCCTTCAGCTGTCCTGACTCCTGTAGCACCACGTGCCCTAGCTCACCTGCAGCTGCTCTGCTCTGGTTTGCTGAGGTTGTGGGGCTTCCCTGGCTCCTTCAGCACCAATCTGCCCCTGCTCATCTGGAGCTGTTTTGTCCTGTCCCCTGACCTCCTGGGCTTTTCTGGTCCTTCCAGCACACACCAGCTGTAGCTTACCAGGAGCTGCTCTGCCCTGGAGTGGCCCTGGTTCCCCTAGCACCAACCTATCCTTGCTCACCTGTAGCTGCTCTGCTGTTCTCCTTAGAGCTCCTGGGGCTTCCTTGGTCTCTCCAGAACCTAAATGCCCCTGTTCATCTGCCTCTGCTCTCCCGAGGCCCACTGAGCTCCTGGGGTCTCCCACAGTACCTACCTGCCTTAGCTCAACTATAACGGCTCTATCCTGGTCTGCTGGGCACCTGGTGTTGCCCTGATCCTTCCAGCACCCACCTGTCTCTGCTCACCCGCAGATGCTTTGCCCTGGTCCCCTAAGCTCCAGCAGCTGTCCTGATTTCTGTAGCACCCACCTGCCCTAGCTCACCTCTAGCTGCTTTGTCCTGGTAACCTGAGCTCCTGGGGGCTGCCCGGGCTCCCTCAGCATTAACCTGCCCAACCTTACCCATAGCTGCTCTGCCTCAGTCCCCTGAGCTCCTGGGGCTGCCCTGGTCCCTCCAGCATTCTCCTGCCCAAGCTCACCTACTGTTGCCCTACCCTGCCCCCACCCGAATGCCTCCAGTGGTGTCTTTGGCCCCTGTAGCATGCAGCTACCACAGCCCACATGCAGATGCTCTGCCCTGACTCCCTGAGCTCCCGGAGTCACCCTGGCCCTTCTGGCACCTACGTGCCTCAAGTCACTGGCACATACTTTACCCTGGTCCCCTGAGCTACTTGGTTTTCTCTGGCTCCCCTAGCACCCAACTGCTCCTGCTCACCTGAGCTCCTGGGACTGGTTGGCCCCTGAAGCACCCACCTGCCCCTGGGCTCTGCCCTGGGCCCTTGAGCTCCTGGAGCTGCTCTGGGCCTTCTGGCATCTACCTGCCAAACAAGTTACAGGTACAAGCTTTACCCTGGTCCTGTCAGCTCCAGGGAGAGGCCTGGCTCCTCTAACACCCACCTGCCCCTGCTCATCTGTAGCTGCTCTGCCTTGGTCCACTGAGCTACTAAAGCTTCCTTGGCCCCATCAGCACCAGCCTGTTCCAGCTCACTGGTAGCTGCTCTACCCAAGTCTCCTGAGTTCCTGGGGCTATCCTGGTTTCTCCACCCTAGTTTACCAGCAGCTGCTCTACCCCGATCCTTTGAGTGCCTGGGGCTGCACTGGTCCCTCTAGCACCCACTGCCTCTGCTCACCTACACCTTCTAGTTCCTGGTCCCCTGAGCTCATGGGACTGGCCTGGCTCCTGAAGTACCGACCTGCCCCTGCTCATCTATATCTGCTCTACTGCAGCCCGGTGAGCTCCTGGGACCTCCCATGGACCCTCCAGTAACCACCTACCCCAGCTTAACTTAAGCTACTCTAACCTAGTCCACTGAGCTCCTGGTGTTGGCCTGGTCCTTTCAACACCCACATGTCTCTGCTCACCTGTATCTGCTTTGCCCTAGCCTCCTAAGCTCCGGAAACAGTCCTGATTCTTCCAGCATCCACCTGACCCAGTTCACCTGTAGCTGCTTAATCCTGGTACCCTGAGCTCCTGGGAGCTGCCCTGGCTCCTTCAGCTCCAAAATGCCCCAGCTTACCTGTAGCTGCTCTGCTCTGGTTCCCTGAGCTCTTGGGGCTTCCCTGACCGCTTCAGCACCAATAGCTCAGTGGTACGTGCTCTGCCTGAGCCCCCTGAGCTCCTGGGAGCTGCCCTGGCTCCTTCAGCTCCCAAATGCCCCAGCTTACCTGTAGCTGCTCTGCTCTGGTTCCCGGAGCTCTTGGGGCTTCCCTGGCCACTTCAGCACTCCCAGCTCAGGGGTACCTGTTCTGCCTGAATTCCCTGAGCTCCTGGAAGCTGTCCTGGCTCCTTCAGCTCCCAAATGCCCCAGCTTACCTGTAGCTGCTCTGCTCTGGTTCCCGGAGCTCTTGGGGCTTCCCTGGCCACTTCAGCACTCCCAGCTCAGGGGTACCTGTTCTGCCTGAATTCCCTGAGCTCCTGGAAGCTGTCCTGGCTCCTTCAGCTCCCAAATGCCCCAGCTTACCTGTAGCTGCTCTGCTCTGGTTCCCGGAGCTCTTGGGGCTTCCCTGGCCACTTCAGCACTCCCAGCTCAGGGGTACCTGTTCTGCCTGAATTCCCTGAGCTCCTGGAAGCTGTCCTGGCTCCTTCAGCTCCCAAATGCCCCAGCTTACCTGTAGCTGCTCTGCTCTGGTTCCCGGAGCTCTTGGGGCTTCCCTGGCCACTTCAGCACTCCCAGCTCAGGGGTACCTGTTCTGCCTGAATTCCCTGAGCTCCTGGAAGCTGTCCTGGCTCCTTCAGCTCCCAAATGCCCCAGCTTACCTGTAGCTGCTCTGCTCTGGTTCCCGGAGCTCTTGGGGCTTCCCTGGCCACTTCAGCACTCCCAGCTCAGGGGTACCTGTTCTGCCTGAATTCCCTGAGCTCCTGGAAGCTGTCCTGGCTCCTTCAGCTCCCAAATGCCCCAGCTTACCTGTAGCTGCTCTGCTCTGGTTCCCGGAGCTC